AATACATGCTTAGATTCAGCATATCAAAAAACCCCAAGAATTCATTTTTTTTCAAATCAAACAAAGTTTAATTTTGGACCCTTCAGACCTTAATGTGGACCAAATCAAAAACAGGGCCCAGAATCCATATTCTTAATACCTAGATTCGGCATATTAAAGAACCCTAAGAATAAAAGACTTGGAATTAAACCCCATTGAAATGGTCAAGAAAAAAGCAATTTATACAAAGTATTACAAAAGTTTTTTTTGGCCCCTTTTTCCTAAACCGTTAGGGTCATAACCCCCAAAATCAATCCCAACCTTCCTTTTATGGTATAAACCCTTGTGGTACAATTAAATAGCAATCCATGGACTACATATACTCAAGTTATTGTCCAGAAACCAGAAAATCCCAGCTTTTTTGTCCCTTTTTGGCCCTAATTCCTAAACGAACTTGGGCCATGACCCCCAAAATCAATCCAAACCTTCTTTTTGAGGAATGGAACCTTGTGGTAAAATTTCATAAGATCCATACACTTATGCACAAGTTATTGTCCTGAAACAAGAAAAATACTTGTTTTTGGCCCCATTATAGCCCCTTATTACTAAACAGCTACGACAATAACCCTCAAAATCAATCCCAACCTTTCTTTTGTGGTATGGAACCTTGTGCTAAAATTTCATAGAGATCCATACACCTTTACTCAAGTAATTGTCTGCGAACCAGAAAAAATGCTTGTTTTTGGTCCCTTTTCGCCACTTAATTACTAAACTGCTAAGACAATAACCCCCAAAATCAATCCCAACCTTCCTATTGTAGTATGGAACCTAGTGCTAAAATTTCATAAAGATCCATACACTTATACTCAAGTTATTGTCTGTGAACCAAAATGTCTTCAGCCCCTTTTCGGTTACTTATTCCTAAACAATTTGGGCCATGACCCGAAAATCAATCCCAACCTTCCTTTTGAGGTATGGAACCTTGTGGTAAAATTTCATAGAGATCTATACACTTAAACACAAGTTATTGTCCTGAGACAAGAAAAATACTTGTTTTATGCCTATTTATAGCCCCTAATTACTAAACAGCTACGATAATAACCCTCAAAATCAATCCCAGCCTTTCTTTAGTGTTATGGAACCTTGTGCTAAAATTTCAAAGAGATCCATGTTTATACTCAAGTTATTGTCTGTGAACCAGAAAAAATGCTTGTTTTTCGTCCTTAATTACTCAACAGCTACGACCATAACCCCCAAAATCAATCCCAACATTCCTATTGTGGTATGGAACCTAGTGCTAAAATTTCATAGAGATCCATACACTTATACTCATGTTATTGTCTGCAAACCAAAATGTCTTTGGACAACAACGCAGACATAGCCATAGCATAATACGAACACAAAAAGTTTGCGGTCCTATAAACACTGCAAAAAAATTGTAAAAATATTCATTACAGGGCAAAAACTCCAATAAGTCAACAAAAGATTTAGGCCATGATGGCTTCTATGTAGAACTTAGCTTGCGGATCATTTTTGCTATTTAAGTTCCAATCCATCTTTTATAGTTTTCAAGATAATAAAATTTTAAAAATCGTTATTAAAGGGAAATAACCTCAATAAGGAATCGATTAACAAATTCGGTCATGTTGACTTATTTGTAGATATTGTCTTACTGATCATTTTTACTATATAAAGTTTCTGTCCATCTATTATCGTTTTCAAGATAATAGGCAAAAATGCAAAATATTCGAGAACATTGTCATTATAGGGAAATAATTTTAATAAAGTGTCGACTGAGGATTATGATCATGTTTGACTTATTTGTACATCTTGTCTTGCTGATCATTTTTTTTTCTCTAAAGTTTCTGTCTATCTATTACAGTCATAAATGAAAAAATATTTAAATTCATCATTTAAGGGCAAAAACTTCAATAAGAAGTCATCTGACAATTTTGATGTTAATGAACAGTTGATAGATCTTTAATTCTAAACATTTTTGCCCCATCAGTTTTTTTCTATCTACAGAGGTTTTCATGATAATAGACAAAACTTGCATTTTACCCCTATGATCTTTTTTTAGCCATGTCGCCCATGTTGGTGGGCAAGCAATATCATCAGACACATTTTTAAACTAGATACCCTATGATGATAGTAGCTAAGTTGGTTCCAATTGGCCCAGTAGTTTCAGAGGAGAAGATTTTTGTAAAAAACGAACGGATGACGACAGACAACGGATGCCAAGTGCTAGGAAAATCTCATAAGTGGCATTCTGACCAAGTGAGCTAAAAACTAATTTACCCTACACCATCATGTTCTTGTGCCAGCCAAATTCTTGTCTTTTGTCTCATATTTTAATGTGTTTTTTTGTCATGTTGGGGAATTTGATGTTGATAGCAGATATTTCTCTAGATGTTTTCGGTTTTTTTGTATTGTTGGGTAGCTGTATCATTGATGTATACCAAGAATCTGCTTTTATTAATATAAATAAAATGCTCCGCTGGGGCGCAGCTTGATACGACCGCAGAGGTCGAACCCTGAACAGTAGGGGCAAGTATGGACACAACATTCAAGCTTGATACAGCACTGAATTTGGATTGTAATTAAATATTTGACACAGAATGAAAGTGGTCTAAGAACTTAAAAATTTTCAATTTACCTATTCATACATGTGATGGACTGTGAAACTCAGATCAGGAGATTGGGAAATTTTGGTCAGGAGATTAGGACTCAGATCAGGAGGTTTTTAATCGACATTAATTTTGTTGTAAATGTAACCGTGTGCTGTAAAAATGGTCTTTTAAAGTGTGTTTTCTTCAACTTTCCATCCAATTTATTATGTTTATAGTACCCTTGTACTTATAAAGTTTCTCCATCTTTATATTCTACATGTTCAATCTAACATTGTATTTTTCCAGTATGTTCTTTAAATTTTTTACTTCATATTCTATAAAACAATCATTGCAACCAGAACATTTGTTTAGCTATCTGCAAATAGTTTTTATTTTTTTTTTTTCTCTTGCAAATAGTTTTTATTTGCAAACTCAGAAAATCATTTTATCTGTAAAATTAGGGTCATAGTTATTATATAAATTTCAATTTAAGCCTGTAAAGGAAGTCTAGAATCCTCAAATAATTTTCAAATTATTATTTTTTTATTTGTCCTAAGACATTTAAAATCATTTAATAACCATCCTTTTATAAATATTTGTTCAATTTATATTTTATTTATATTCTTTTAAAAATTTTCATTATTAAAAGGAAAGTAACTTAAAACAGGATAAATCAAGGGAAGTAACCCAATAAATACACAGTTTTTGTTACACAACGGCAGTTAGCCTGAGGTAAAAATCGTTGATTACCTGTATGTTTGACACCCAAGCTGACAAGTGAAGCCATATAATTATGCATGTTAATTGATTTACAGGTAAAATATAACTTCAGGTAATGTCAGTTACACCAGATGCCTGAGATGATATGTTGGGCAGAAATTTTTCATTCATGAAAAATTTCATACACGGGATTTTTTCCTCTTCAACGGGAGGTCGGGAGGAGACCCCTGAAAACGGGATTATTGTACTCCCGTCGGGAGGTTCACATGTATGCCTATTCAAACCATATCATTATTATTTGCTTTTATATATAAATCAGAAATAACCAATTTAAAATGGAAAATGTTAAAGAAAAAAAAGGAAAAAAAAATCCCCCCCCCAATTTTTTGAACCCCCTTATGATTCATCACCCCCAAACTCAATCCCAGCTTTCCCTTTGTGGTATGGTACCTTGCAGTACAATTTCAGAGAGATTCATACACTTGAACACAAGTTATTGTCTGAAAACTAGAAAAATGCTTGTTTTTTGGCCCCTTTTTGGCCCAAATTCCTAAACCTTTAGGGCAATTACCCCCAAACTCAATTCCAGCTTTCCCTTTGTGATATGGAACCTTGCAGTACAATTTCATAAAGATCCATACACTTACACACAAGTTATTGTCCTGAAACTAGAAAAATGCATGTTTTTTTTGCCCTTTTATGGCCCCTAATTACTAAAATTTTGAGGGAAAACCCCCAAAATCAATCCCAGCCTTCCCTTTGTGATATGGAACCTTGTAGTACAATTTCATAAAGATCCATACACTTACAAACAAGTTATTGTCATGAAACTAGAAAAATGCTTGTTTTTTGCCCCTTTTTGGCCCCTAATTCCTAAAATTTGGAGGAAATTACCCCAAAAATCAATCCCAGTATTCCTTTTGTGATATGGAACCTTGTAGTACAATTTCATAAAGATCCATACACTTACAAACAAGATATTGTCATGGTCGTATAAAAATGCCTGTTTTTTGCCCCTTTTTGGCCCCCAATTCCTAAAATTTGGAGGCAATTACCCCCAAAATCAATCCCAGCATTCCCTTTGTGATATGGAACCTTGTGGTACAATGTCAGACAGATCCATACACTTACACACAAGATATGTCTGGAAGTTACAAAAATGCTTATTTTTGGCCCCTTTTGGCCCCTAATTCCTTAACTGTTAGTACCATAACCCCCAAAATCAATCCCCACCTTCCTTTTGTGGTATTGAACCTTATGGTAAAATTTCATTGAGATCCATTCACTTAAACTAAAGTTAGAGTGCGAAAACTAATGTGTATTCGGACGACGACGCCGGACGACGACGACGACGACGACGACGACGACGCCAACGTCATACCAATATACGACCACAAAAATTTTTTTGCGGTCGTATAAAAAGTAAAGAAAGGAATAGTGATTGAATTCTACATCACAAGATGCCCCCTAGTGCATACTGTTTTGGGCAGAATAATTTACTAGATATCTTATATTCTACATGTGTCATTTCAACACTACTAGAAACACTGTGAACTCCATTTTTCTAAGACTTGCCTTCACAAGTTGACAGGCATTAAACATCAATTGCAAGGGCATTAAATTCAGAAACTTCTTAATCACTTATTCCCAACTGTAGACAAAATTTCCTCAATAAATTATTTAGAAAATCTGTTGTATAAGTATTAAAATAATTTTATTCTAAAATGTGAAAGCAATGATATAAAACAACCTAATTCCCTGATTTTTCTTCATACATACTTTCTACTCATGATTTAACAATAAAAAACTCACACAGAAATCTCTTTTCCAATATCTCAAACACACATTCTCTTATATTCAATAATAATAATGTAATGTATTTTTTTTTATTATAAACCTAAATTTTCCTTTTGTAAACTTGAATAGATTTATTGTTACATGTCTTACTAGTACTCATATGGTTATACAAAGCAAAACATTTAAGACTGATATATAGAAACCAATTTGTTTTGTGCACCTGGATTTTTTATACAGCTTGATCTTGAAGTCAGTGTAAAAAGGTGTATAATCCCCCAATATTAAAATATAGTCATATTTCTGTAAGCTCATTAATCTTTGTTCGACTCCTATTTTCTTTGACTGATTAGGGGCAAGGACATCATACAATGGAGACCTTACACACTGGTGCCAAATGCACACACCATAGAATCAGCCACATTTGGTACTGAACTGACCATATACATATACATATGCCGGTATCTAAAATAGATTAACAAAATGCATGTCTTCCTTTGAATGTGATACCCCAAACAAACTAAATAAAGCTTACTGGATGGTTCACTGGAAATTCAGTCTAGTGATCAATCATTATATACAGATAAGAAAAATCATTGACTATAATTAATGATAGATCTTAGAATTCAACAATGCAATGAAGCCACATAATTTCAAAAGATATTTTTCAAACTTTACAAAAAAATAGTTGTAAACAAAACTTAATAATATTTGCTTGCCATACAAAGTTACATTTGTAAATGCTTTCAAATAGAATTTATAATTTATAATGCAAGGTGAATGGTGCTTGCATTATCTCATAACCAGTAGTGCAAAATGAAATTTGCACAATAGTATTTTTTACATACCGTAATAAAGAATGGTAGTAACAGTAACTTGTAGCCCATGAGGTTGCATTTATAGAGGGATAATAAAGCCAGAAGAACCTATAGGATATAAGTCATTGGGGTTTTATTTCTGTGCCCAACTAACATGTATGCTTCATCCACAAATAAAAATGTAAGACTATATAAAATGAACAGATGTGGTATGATTCTATGATTATTTCATTTAAAAATTATATGTGTGGTCTGGGTGCAGACATCAACAAATTTTATATAATTTTTAGTGATTTCATTAATTTATAAATCTAAAATCCTCAAAATCTTTAATATAGATACTTTACAGACAGCCATCTTATGTGCTATTCATTTTGAAGATTGCTTTACACCTTTTTCATGAAAGGGCCTTCATTGGTCAAAAATTAAAAAAACATACTTGACTAGTAATAGAGACAGCAACCCACCACATTTAACATTACATAAAGATAAATGTTTAATAACTACATTTTTTGTACTTTATTACAATTAGCAATGAGCAATAGCCAAACACCAAAATATATTGTATAAAGCTCTAGTCCTGATCGAAAGATGATTTTTCTTTTTGAAGAAAACAAAACAACCTTATTATGCACTTAAGATTAAAATATGGAACTGATATATAATATAAAATGAAAAGATACATGAAGATCAAAACTGCTGTATAATTCCTGTACATACCAAAATGTATAAAAATGTTGATAACTGTGCATTAAAAGTCTACATTATTTAGAATAATGAACAATATACAATGTAACAAAGACATAAAGTTTGATTAGGGAAACTTTGATTACACTATATTGTTGTAAGTAGCAGAATACAGATATTAAGGATGCATATGTATATGGTGGCAACTAAATACAATTTGGATTAGAAAAGCTAAAATCAAATTGCCAACTTTTTAGCACCATTATTCTAAAACATTAACAGAACATGGATATACATATGTACATATCATCACATTTTATCAGTATATGCTATGTGCAACATTTGTGCTATAGATATTAAAGTATATTTTAGGCCAAAAAAAATCAAAGACTTGTTTCCTGCCTCCTGGGACAAAAAATAAAGTTGTTAGGTATTAAAAATTATTTTATATTTTAAAACATATTTTACTTAGACTATATAGGGGTAAATTCAGTAAATAAATATACGTCATCAAGGACTGCCCATTTGGGGGAGAGCTTCCTGGATAACACTGAAGTCCTGTGCTCTTCTGATTGGTAGATAATGTTTGTAATAAATATTCTTGATAAGATGGACCCAAACTGGGTTTAAAAAAAAATAAAAAATTAATGCTGAATGCACTTAATTTTTTTACTACAGGGTTGAAAAGAAATGGGGTCAGTGTAGGAATTTAGACGATTCTATTGTGTTTTTAAACAAGGCCATGTGAAAGGCCCATAAATGCTGCATGATCCTTATATTTTGATTATTGCAAAAGATGGGGCTACATTAATTTTGTACTTTAATGAACATGATGAATGATATATGAAAGCTTGTGATTTTTAAAGGTAAACCGGGTATAAATCTAATTCAAGAAATAGGTTTGCATTCAAGTCAGTGAGAGATTTTTTTAACTGAATTTACCCCTATAAGGGAAATGTTCTAAACTTTAAACAGTGCTTAACCCAAAATGTCCATAAAAGTGTCTTAAGTGTTGACATGGAAACTACATATTTATTTGGTGTTACTAATGGCAGTAATTTCATTTTTATCAGTATATCTTATGTGCAGCATTAACTTTACAAATACTATGGATTCATTATGATTCATGAGGTGCTTAGTATTATGGAGGTCGTGGCTTTAGGTCAAAACAAAAATCAAATGATCAACAAGGTATAAATTTCCTACAGTACAGGTTTGTATGCATAATTTGCTAAAACCATAAAAGAAAGAATCCAAGATTTTTTTTCTCCGCAATCCACAAAATTAGTACCTATAATAATAAATGAATCAACAGTACTCATATATTTTGTATCCAATATCATTTGTTTACAATCATTATAATACAGTAGATGGGGCTTGTAAAATCTTCTGATCAGTACAAAATTATCTCTAATTTTAAACCCTGATTTTATATATCTAATCTATACAAAATCTGCAAATTTGTTCACAATTTCAAGACTCACAACACAATAATCTGAAAACCAAACAGTATTATCATGTTGAAAATGGTTCCCATAATTTCACAACCATAAAATCTAATTAAAAAGTAAATAAAATCAACAATCATAGCAATTAATATGGTATATTCTACACATCTCTTTTCAAGAATTAACATTAATTCTGCACATAAGTATTGGTATAATGTATTCAGAGGCAGCATTGTCTACCTTTTTCACTTTATATAAGAATACTGCAGTACAAAATGTATAAACTAAAATACACATAGAGCTATAATCCATAGACCACTATCCAGATAAACAGAAAACCAAAACCTAGTGTGATCTTAGACAAATTCTTTTTACTGAATCTCTTTAACCTGATGAAAATTTTGATAATATGACAGATTATCAGATAATGTTGTTTTTATTTAAGAATCAAGATATTATTAGATTATGTGCCAAAACCTTTAATTCTATTCTGAAAAGAGGCAAAGAAGTTTTATATTGTATTTAATATCACAATTATGCTGTTTATTTTTATCGTTCATGTTTAATTTTTAATGTATATACATGTTGTTTTAGCTGTTATCGTCTCTCAATAATCTGTACTGATTGGCTTATGTATAAAACAAAATGTATCTTTAAATGTTGTATAATACATGTATATTTGTATGCATAAGGTGAGATGTAAATAAAATATTAAATTAAATTGAATTGTCTAAATTCTAACTTTAAAAAAATCATTGTATTAGAAATATATTGCTTCAAATAGAACCAAAATATAGCGCTGTGGACCAGCCTCTAAATTTCATACTTAACATTTTGTTAATAATTGGAATGTTAAAACTTCATATTTTTTAATGTAATCTTTACCACTTTTCATGTAAATGGTACTCTTTTTTAGTTATTTTTCTCCTTTTTATAAAAACTGGTAAAAATACAAAAATCATTAAAATCAAACCTATAACCAAAGACTTTGTAGAATAGTAACTAAAATTTATCTAATATACAGGTACAGACACTAAGTCCAACTGGTGCTGCATCAGTATTTGTACATCAACAACCTTTGAATTTCCATTCTCCTTAGCACCATCAAGTAGATTAACATATAACATGTCTGTTTGGAAACCGGTTTCATCATCAGTTTTAAAACAATACATTACGTTATTGCATATAGTTATACCAAATACATATCCTCCAATTTCTTCATTATTTTTCTTGGTAAAATGTGTATATGTATTTGTTACTTCAAGAGATTTATCGTCAGAGTGTTCCAATACATGAACCAAGTCTCGACTGGCTCTCACATATATTGCATCATTGTAAGTACATGCTCCCAGAAATGCCAGTCCACTTTGTATATCACTAGACATGATTAACTTTGTCCATGTATCTTGCACCGGCGAATAACAAAACATTGCACTACTACAGAACAAAGCATATATTTTGTTGTGTAAAACTGTCAAAGCTTTGTGGTACCCATGTGTTGGTGATGGGGCCAATGAACACCACTTGTCTGTAAAAAATAATAGAGATATCAGACTAAAAATGTTTTTCTAACTTATTGTAATTATAAAGCACAAAATAATTGAAAAGTAACTGAGCATGTAAAAAACATTTGCACTGCTGATGAAGAGCAGCAATAAAAACGCTGTTTCTTTGATATTTGGTTTTTTTCTGAGAATTTGAAAATTTTTTGTCCTAAGTGGATTTATCCTATATTATCTCTTTCCAAGCTTGAGTTTGACAAGTCATTTTATGAAATGCTATGAAGATTTAAAAAAGTCATACCAGTAATATCAATGTAAAATTTTAAACCTCATAGAATTTATATGACATTGAGTAATAATTTTTGAAAATTTTGGTAAAAGGCTATATCGGTTAACACCTGGATCCATAACTCTGATGGACAGATAGTCATTTGCAAACTATATTTATTACATGGAATTATTTTATATATTTATGTCTTGAACGACAGGTTATACAATGTATTTCTGAAATAAGACCATGTATGGACTATACTTATTTGCACAGAGTGCTAAATAGCTACTTAAAAAGAAGTTTTAAAATCACTTTTCTTTCTCTAATGTTTCTTAATTAAAGAAATCGTTTTTATATTGATGAGTGAGATAGTAACTTTCAATAAAATGCTCCACTGAGCGCAGCTTGATACGACCGCAGAGGTCGAACCCTGAACAGTTGGGGCAAGTATGGACACAACATTCAAGCTTGATACAGCACTGAATTTGGATTGTGATTAAATATTTGACACAGCATAGGTTTCTGACACAGAATGAATGTGGTTTAAGAACTTAAAATTTTTTTAATTTACCTATTCAAACCATATCATTATTATTTGCTTTCATATATAAATCAGAAATAACCAATTTAAAATGGAAAATTTTAAAGGAAAAAAAGGACAAAAAAATCCCCCCCACCCGAAATTTTTTGAACCCCCTTATGATTCATCACCCCCAAACTCAATCCCAGCCTTCCCTTTGTGGTATTGTGGTATGGTACCTTGAAGTACAATTTCAGAGAGATCCATACACTTGAACACTAGTTATTGTCTGGAAACTAGAAAAATGCTTGTTTTTTGGCCCCTTTTTGACCCCAAATTCCTAAACGTTTAGGGCAATTACCCCCAAAATCAAACCCAGCTTTCCCTTTTTGATATGGAACCTTGCAGTACAATTTCATAAAGATCCATACACTAACACACAAGTTATTTTCCTGAAACTAGAAAAATGCTTGTTTTTTGCCCCTTTTTGGCCCCTTATTCCTAAAATTTTGAGGCAATTATCCCCAAAATCAATCCCAGCCTTCCCTTTGTGATATAGTACCTTGCAGTACAATTTCAGAGAGATCCATCCACTTGAACACAAGTTATTGTCTGGAATCTAGAATAAACAGCTGCGCCATGAGCGCATGATACGCCCGTCGTCTTGTGTGTGAATTTTTATGCAATAAGCATAAATAGTTTCTGACATACGTCGTGACATGCGAAAACCCCCTTTTTTTTTTTACAAAAAACTCAATATCTCTAAAATAAAATTTTGAATCAAAACCAAAAAGTATACAGATCTTTAGATTAATATAACTAAGAAGTGTGTAAAATTTTAAGCAATAATCATAAATTGTTTTTGAGATAAGGCGCAACATGTGAAAATCCCCCTTTAAAAAAAAAAAAAATCAATATCTCAAAAATAAAATTTTGAATCAAAACCAAAAAGTATACAGGTCTTTAGATTAATATAACTAAGAAGTGTGTAAAATTTGAAGCAATAATCATAAATCGTTTTTGAGATACGGCGCGACATGTGAAAAACCCCTCCCCCTTTTTTTACAAAATACTCAATAACTCAAAAATTAAATTTTGAATCATCACCAAAAAGTATACAGATCTTGAGGTTAATATAACTAAGAAGTGTGTAAAGTTTTAAGCAATAATCATAAACTGTTTTTGAGATACGGCGCGACATGTGAAAAACCCCTCCCCCTTTTTTAACAAAATACTCAATATCTCTAAAATAAAATTTTGAATCATCACCAAAAAGTATACAGATCTTAAGATTAATATAACTAAGAAGTGTGTACAGTTTTAAGCAATAATCATAAATTGTTTTTGAGATACGGCGCGACATGTGAAAAAAAACACACACCTGTTTTAGTTACTAAGTCCCGTAACTCAAAAAGTTTTAATCTTGTTTTCACCAAAAAGTATACAGATCGTTTGACCATCATAAGAAACAACTATCTTAAGTTTCATGAAATTTGGATAAGTCATTCTCAAGTTACGGTGCGACATGTTTACGCCGGACAGACAGACGGACAGACAGACGGAGGGACACCGGACATTTGAATACCATAATACGTCCCGTCAAAAATTGACGGGCGTATAAAAATGCTTATTTTTGGCCCCTTTTTGGCCCCTTATTCCTAAATGTTTTGGGCAATTACCCCCAAACTCAATTCCAGCATTCCCTTTGTGATATGGAACCTTGTAGTACAATTTCAGAAAGATCCATACACTTACACACAAGTTATTGTCATGAAACTAGAAAAATGCTTGTTTTTTGCCCCTTTTTTGGCCCCTAATTCCTAAAATTTTGAGGCAATTACCCCCAAAATCAATCCCAGCATTCCCTTTGTGATATGGAACCTTGTGGTACAATGTCAGAGAGATCCATACACTAACACACAAGTTATGTCTGGAAGTTACCAAAAAGCTTATTTTTGGCCCCTAATTCCTTAACTGTTGGTACCATAACCCCCAAAATAAATCCCAACCTTCCTTTTGTGGTATTGAACCTTATGGTAAAATTTCATAGAGATCCATTCACTTAAACTTAAGTTAGAGTGCGAAAACCAATGTGTCTTCGGACGACAACGACGACGCCAACGTCATACCAATATACGACCGCAAAATTTTTTTGCGGTCATATAAAAAGGAGGATTTTATAATGCAAATATTAAGACCAATCATATTCTTAAATTTCACAGGAAAAGACCAAATTATTCATTTATTAACCAATTCACAGAAGCCATGTCAGGCTGACCAACAAGGTCTTTGAGAATCATTTTGAACAACAGTGCCATCAGTGTCATTCAACACAAGTTGGTTAGATATAGTTAGCTATCCCAGGGCTCAGAGGCATATATTTCAATAAAAGTACTAAAATCCAGATTGATGTTTGGATATTGATGGACACTAGACAATGATAATAGCTGTTATGTGACTTTATTGTAATACTTTAACTTGCCTTCATCACAATCATACTTTTCCATAGAATTAAGTTTAACTCTAAATCGTCCATATCCCCCTATAACATATAGGCAATTATTTATAGCACACGATGCATGGTGTCGCCTCGGACTCTGTAATTCTGTCAACTTTCGCCACTTTTTCGTGAAGGTATTATAGCAATAAACACCAAGGTTCCATGTATTTTTACCTAACTTTGGTTCTCCACCTGACACTATTATGTCTTGACCTGTAAAGTACCACTTGATTATTTATTTTCATTTTGAACACACTGTAAAACCTAATATCTGTTTAATATTTTTACATTTACAATGCACGATTAGAAAATCATATTATTTGACAGTAAATGACAACAAAACTTTTTTGTGAATTGCATTTTAAAATTGACATTGATTCTTCAAATGTATTCAAAGGAATGCAATATTTCTCCAATGGTTGAAGTTTAAATCTTACATGTAAATATTTGAGAATTTAACATTTGAGAGTGAGAAATGTCATGAACCGAGTGGTAGGACTGGTTTCTCTAGTACTGAGCTAAGATGATATAAAAGCAAACTTTAGCCTTCCTCTATTGATCTGCTCAAATTTTAAATCGTTATGCATAATAATCTCATTGTCATCTTTTTACTGACTGTCTCAGTGAAAAACGAGTATGACCTTACCATTAACACAGACACTATACCCACCATGACCTTACCATTAACACAGACACTATACCCACCATGACCTTACCATTAACACAGACACTATAACCAGCATAAACAGACACTATAACCAGCATAACCTTACCATTATGACCTTACCATTAACACAGACACTATACCAACCATGACCTTACCATTAACACACACACTATACCAACCATGACCTTACCATTAACACAGACTCTATAACCACTATGACCTTACCATTAACACACACTATACCCACCATGACCTTACCATTAACACAGACACTATACCCACCATGACCTTACCATTAACACAGACACTATACCAACCATGACATTACCATTAATACAGACACTATACCCACCATGACCTTACCATTAACACAGACACTATACCCACCATGACATTACCAGTAACACAGACACTATAACCACCATAACCTTACCATTAACACAGACACTATACCCACCATGACATTACCATTAACACAGACACTATAACCACCATAACCTTACCATTAACATTGACACTTTAACCAGCATAACCTTGCCATTACAACGGACACTATAACCAGCATAACCTTACCATTAACACAGACACTTTAACCAGCATAACCTTACCATTAACACAGACACTATAACCACCATGACCTTCCACATTAGGTAAAACATCTTCCATTGTAGTTATAACATTATCTTTCAGTATACCACATTCCTTTGTCATATCAATCTTGTAGATCTCAGGATCAAACCAGAAACTCTGGGAAGATTCATCAAATCTCTGTAACCCTACACAAAACAGGTCTTCAGGGACTTGTCGATACTGAAATTAGAAACATTAAAAGCCTTTTTTTATATGCTGAAATATTGAAAATACGAAGTTTGTGTTATAATAATAAAAGGTAACTACAAGTAATTGAGATAAAACTTTTATAATACAATCATTGGTCAATACAATTGTTCTGAATACCAGAGAGTCATATGATACAACTTAATTTATACACAGTCAAATTGATACTTTGTAACAGAAATCTGGAAAACCATTTCTTAGGCTGGGCCATAATAAAGAACTGTCTCAAGTCTGTACACACTTGTCATTGAAATAAATCTACATTGTAACTCAACCAGGTATTTGTTTTTCGGGTACATTTTTGTAATATAATTGATTTACATATAACAAATAGAAGGAAAAAAAGAGAAACTTAAAATAATACCTTTCTTCTTATTTGATCTTTGTTATTTTCAAGTCTTTGCAAAATGCCATTTTTTGTTATGTGAAGATATTTGAATTCTGGCAGCATGTTAAGTTCTATGGAAGGATTAATTATATCTTCAATGTGTATGTATTTCGACAGTTCATTTATATACTGTTGTCTATTCTCTACATCGGCATCTATCCATCGTTCAAATGCATAATAAACATCTATTTCTGATTGCACGTTCAAGGCTTTCTCCTGTAATAAGCTTCTTAATGTTGCAACTTGTATGGAGAGAAAATCCTCAGTCTGACAAACCTACAAAATGTACATTTAAAATCAGTCATTTCTATATTTCTTTTTATATGACACAAATTTAAAGTGCCTGAGACATTAAAATCATATAAAATTTTCAGAATTTTTTTTTAATTTTCTAAAATAACTGTAATCAAATGCCTTTCGTTAGTAAGTGAATAAATTTTGAATGTCTTTTTTTACAGAAATACTAGTATTACATTTTCCCTTCAAAGCGCATTAATAATATATTGCATATAATGTCAAATTAGTGCATGTAGGAAAGTAATTTCAATCCGATAAACCACAAGCTTATGGCCCATGCCAGTTAAAATGTATTAAGCCAGTAACAAGATTTGAAAAGAGAAGTTACATAGATTTATAGTAATTTTCTGTAAAAAAATATAATTTACAGGCTAGTAAGTAAAATTTTTCTCGTAAAGATTTAAAAAATTTAATTTGACATTTGGTTGAACAATTAAATATCAATATTCCCATTTGTTGTGCCACGATTATTTACAGTAACATTTTTAGCATTCATTTCATTCGTATTTCCCGGCGTATATTTTCCGCGAAACTGGGTAATACTTATTTTCACTTTTGCACACTTGCTTGTTATGCGGAATAATCTTTCATAGTTACAACATAATTACCTTATTCAGAAGTTATTAATGCATCCTATTTAATCCATATTTATCCTTTTATAATGTTAGAATTATCCAAAATCATACTTGTCAACTAGGACGTCACTTTGGTTTACTTTCATATTAGTGTACACATGTACTATTTTTAGCGTGTATTGAGTGACGTCGTAAAACAAACGTTTTCAGAAAGTATAGGCAGTTTCAAATTATAGCCGCTGGCGAACAGCTGATTTTTAGACAGTGACCCAGATTTATTTATTCAGGTATTTTGGCACACACTGCAATTCTATTCACATATATTGTAATTTATTAATAACTATTATTAATGATATTAACTTTTAATAAAGCTGCTTTTATTTATTTAAACAAATCTTATTCCTTGATTATCCAAAGTTTGGACTTCAAAACAGTTTTATTACTTTGACTTTATAATTGATATTTGTATAATATCTGCCAAACATTTACAATAATGATTGGCGTTTCACCATTCAGTGTAATTTTTGATACAATATGATAAATAATTCACTTTAAATTCAACATATAAATGAAATAACACTCTATTGTAACAGTTGACTTACTTTTGTGAAGTAATGCTGCATGTGCCTTTTAGCTAATTTTAGCACACTTTTAAGATGATACAAAGTCGAACACTCCAAGGTACTTGGACAGGTATTATGGCACATATTATCTCTTAAAAATTCACAACACAATTCTATGGCACTTGATATCTGTAAAAAAACATGACCTATAAGTTATAAGGAGCAAAAACAATACATAGATACCAAATAAGGGGTTGAAATAAACTAAAACTTACAGTTGATGCAAAATCTTTATAACAATTGTTCTCCAGTTTAAGAACTGCTGATATTTCATTTCACAATTAAAATATTTTTAACTGATGCTTGGTCTCTTGTTTAATATTGTGAAATGTTAATTCAAAGTGCTGTTTTGAGTAGCCTTATGTCTTACTGGGAATTATTGATTGACTGTGCTTGCTTAACATCCATTACATACAATTTGAAGTTTTATTAAAGATGTATTTTATATACATGTTATGTAGTACTACATGTACCTATATTGTCACCACTTGATTTTTTCAAATCAATGAATATGCATACCTGAAACCTACAAGCCCCAGCCGTGATACAATACACAGATTCCTTTGTTAGGTGTAGTACATCAGATGAGATATAGCTGATCAGCTCTCTCATGACATCAGCTTCCACATCTTTAATTTCTACCATATTATAATGACTTTCTATCATACCAGAGGAAAACATGGCATTAAAGTAATCACTTTTCTTCATCAGAAGACATTTAGAACAGTTAATTTTTTCTTCATCTCCAAATGTTATGGTAACATTCTCATCCTCTGGATTATCAGAATCATCCTCCATGTTTGTTTCCCTATTAAAATGAAATTAAACTTTTATTTTACCACTAGACAGACCAGTCCAACTTCCACATCAGCTAGACAATAAATTGGACATGACCTCTATACTTCAATGAATAGTTTGACAATCTTGTGCTATTTTGATACGAAATGACTTAGTTGGCCAGTATGTCTTCATTGCGACACATATTGATAATGCTACATTTGTACATTAAAGAACACAGATGTAGTGTAATATTTATTTCTTTTAAATTACAGACTACCAAAGAGACTCGACAAATACTGTTATAATACTCATGATTTGCCAAACTTAACCGAAAAAATGTATTGAGAGTGCAATTCATTGGTATGGATAACAAAACAATTTCAATAAACAATCAGCATAATTTAACTGAACAAGAATTGAAGTAGCACACAAAAGACAGATTACCTGAAAAATTAATATGCCACAACTAAAACACCCTAAATATGTTTTCCAACAATGGAATATCAGAAATGTTTTCGAACAGTTTAACTTTTCTATATTGTTGGGTTACTGCCTTATTGACCTGTCAATGTACAGTACTACATGAATATACACATCTCCATTTATCATGTTTATTCATATTATAAGGTTAATTAATGTCTTAAATAAGTTGTATACCTCAGTTTACAAACTTCATCTAGAGTTGATCAAACTTCTATGCAACAGTGAAAATCAATGTTGCTTATTAGCCTCAAATTACATGATGAAATAATCTGCCTATAATAAATATAATACAATGCGTTTATTGGTACATTTAAAAAAAACACACTTTTCCAGAAATTAACAATTTAGCAAATAAATAGGAAAGTACTAATCCAAATTAATCACATAACTTATCATGTTACAAAATATGAGATTTTTAGCCAGAGTGTCTTTTTACCACAGAACTACAAACAAATACAATGAAAAGACTACATGATAGATTTACCACAGAACATTTAAATTACTCTACAAAATGCAAAACTATTAATTCAGTGGTTGTAAATAAACTCATCATAGATACCAAGATTAATATTTGATACACCAGACATAGGTTTCGTCTAAAAAAGACTCTTCAGCGACGCTCAAATCGAAATAGTGCAAAAGTCCCAATAAATTAAGAAGTTGAAGAGCATGAAGAATCAAAAACTCCGTAAGGTTTTGCCAAATACAGCTAAGGTAATTTATTATACCTCATTATGTATTTTCTTTATATAATTATAAACGAATAAATTTACTATTTTTATGAAATTGTCTGAAAAAGACTATTTGACAGTAAATAGTTTCAGTAACTATTTACTGGATATGAATTATCAAATAATTGTTGTAACAACTCTTAATGTCAGCTTAACAAATTACTTTGATCACTTTAATAAAGGGGGTACAGAAAACCTAAGGAAGATAACTCTTTAAAAATCAGCTCAAGATTTTAATATTACAAAATATAAGTAAAGAGAAATCAAGCTTCTCAATGATCAAAATAAGTGTTTGTCAAACTGATATATCCAATGAAATTATTCCTACAAATTGTGTGGTTCAAGTTTCTTGAAATTTTTATGTTTTTGTCAACAGGTCGCAGTTAAAATTTTGTCAAAATTTTATGAAAATTAAACGAGCCAAATCTATCTTAGTCAAAGTGTTGGGTACCCCTTAAGTTAAATTATTTGTTAACAACTACTCTATCATGCTTATATTTAATTAATAAATTTTGATTATTTATTGTAACAACTCTAAACATGAAAGTAATAAAAAATTGTAAAAAAAAACCAAAATAAACTGCTTCCTCGAGCGCAGCAGGATACGACCGCAGAGGTCCAACCCTGAACAGTTGGGGAAAAAATGGACACAATATTCAAGCTTGATACAGGTCTGAATTTGGATTGTAATTAAATATTTGACACATTATAGGTTTTGACATAGAATAAATGTAGTCAAAGAACTTGAAATTGGTTGTATGATTACCGTCTCCTCAGAGACGGTATTAAGAGTTGAACGATGGACAGTCTGCGGGCTGAAGGCTTTCTTACTACCTGATTGGAAGATATTACTGACGCTGTCATAATTAAAGTTCGTTGATTGGTTGGGACAATTCAAACCTAGTAAATGTCTTTTAATCCCATAGAGTGTCGGATCTGAACTCTTTGCTTTAGTAAATAGATTTGCCTGGTTACCAATCATACATATCGGTACACAGGTAACACATATCTATAAATAGCCGAATCTCCTGAAGATTTGTAAACACACACGTGATTATTTCAAGTTACATACATTTTATACGTGAAAACATAAGAAAAACTTTTAGGAAAATGCCTTTTTCTTAGGTTATATTTATTTATACTCAGTAAGATAATCTAAAGGCAACACAAACATTTTAAAACGGAGATATCAAATAATTTCTGTTCGATTAATATCAATTTACACGAGAATTTTTATCTCAGGGGGCGGGGGCGGCGGCACTTCGACCTTTCTATGGCAGGGGTGAGCAGCTGAGACATCCAATACCCCACCCTTTATATATATATATATATATATATTGAATGATAAAAGAACATACATGTAATTACCCTAGCTATCATATATTTTTTACAATAAGTATATATACCTGCACATAGCTATCCTTGTTACGCTATTTCATGGGGAGATACTAGTTAAAATAGATTTGACAAATATCTTAAACATTTACGAAAGTGACTTTAGAGACATATATACACAATCTCTGGTGATTTTAATTGCATCTGTAAAAAAAATATCGACATCTGATTAGTTTCAGATTCAATCATCAACCTTGTCTTATATATCACCTAAATTTCTCGACCTCATGCTATATCATAAAGCTTCAAATAGTGACCTATCCCAGCGAATCATCCCTTCCACTCATTACATAATAAGTGCCCCCACACACACCCCAAGATCGTTGGGCTGAGTTGGATGTTGTCTAGATCTACCTAGCTAGCTCTTCCTAGCAAGATAGCAGACGTTGAAGAACAGAAGACTAAAAAATATATCTAAAAGGGAATATAAGAACAAATAAAATGCTTCGCTGGGCGCAGCTTGATACGACCGCAGAGGTCGAACCCTGAACAGTTGGGGCAAGTATGGACACAACATTCAAGCTTGATACAGCTCTGAATTTGGATTGTGATTAAATATTTGACACAGCAAAGGTTTCTGACACAGAAAGAATGTGGTCAAAGAACTTGAATTTTTTTAATTTACCTATTATGGTCCAATGTCCAAAATCAAAATACATGGTTAGATTCAGCATATCAAAGAACCCCATATATTCAATTTTTGTTGAAATCAAACAAAGTTTAATTTTGGACCCTTTGGACCAACTTGAAAACTGGGCCCATAATCAAAAATCTAAACACATGTTTAGATTCAGCATATCAAAGAACCCCAAGAATTCAATTTTTGTTAAAATCAAACTAAGTTTAATTTTGGACCCTTTGGACCTTAATGTAGACCAATTTAAATAAAAACGGGACCCAAAATTAAAAATCTAAATACACGGTTAGATTTGGAATATAAAAGAACCCCAATAATTCAATTTTTGATGAAATCAAACAAAGTTTAATTTTGGACCCTTTTGACCTCAATATGAACCAATTTGATAGCAGGGCCCACAAATAAAAAATCTAAAATCATGGTTAGATTCAGCATATCAAAGAACCCCATATATTCAATTTTTGTTGAAATCAAAAAAAGTTTAATTTTGGACCCCAACTTGGACAAACTTGAAAACTGGGCCCATAATCAAAAATCCAAACACATGTTTAGATTCAGCATATCAAAGAACCCCAAGAATTCAATTTTTGTTAAAATCAAACTAAGTTTAATTTTGGACCCTTTGGACCTTAATGTAGACCAATTTAAAAAACAGGACCATAAATTAAAAATCTAAAAACACGGTTAGATTTGTCATATCAAAGAACCCTAATAATTCAATTTTTGATGAAATCAAACAAAGTTTAATTTTGGACCCTTTTGACCTCAATATGAACCAATTTGATAGCGCGCCCACAAATAAAAAATCTAAATACATGGTTAGATTCAGCATATCAAAGAACCCCATATATTCAATTTTTGTTGAAATCAAACAAAGTTTAATTTTGGACCCCAATTTGGACCAACTTGAAAACTGGGCCAAAAATCTAAAATCTAAATACATGTTTAGATTCAGCATATCAAAGAACCCCATGTATTCAATTTTTGTTGAAATCAAACAAAGTTTAATTTTGGACCCCAACTTGGACCAACTTGAAAACTGGGCCCATAATCAAAAATCTAAACACATGTTTAGATTCAGCATATCAAAGAACCCCAAGAATTCAATTTTTGTTAAAATCAAACTAAGTTAAATTTTGGACCCTTTGGACCTTAATGTAGACCAATTTAAAAAACAGGACCATAAATTAAAAATCTAAAAACACGGTTAGATTTGTCATATCAAAGAACCCTAATAATTCAATTTTTGATGAAATCAAACAAAGTTTAATTTTGGACCCTTTTGACCTCAATATGAACCAATTTGATAGCGCGCCCACAAATAAAAAATCTAAATACATGGTTAGATTCAGCATATCAAAGAACCCCATATATTCAATTTTTGTTGAAATCAAACAAAGTTTAATTTTGGACCCCAATTTGGACCAACTTGAAAACTGGGCCAAAAATCTAAAATCTAAATACATGTTTAGATTCAGCATATCAAAGAACCCCATGTATTCAATTTTTGTTGAAATCAAACAAAGTTTAATTTTGGACCCCAACTTGGACCAACTTGAAAACTGGGCCCATAATCAAAAATCTAAACACATGTTTAGATTCAGCATATCAAAGAACCCCAAGAATTCAATTTTTGTTAAAATCAAACTAAGTTAAATTTTGGACCCTTTGGACCTTAATGTAGACCAATTTAAAAAACAGGACCCAAAATTAAAAATCTAAATACACGGTTAGATTTGGCATATCAAAGAACCCCAATAATTTAATTTTTGATGAAATCAAATGAAGTTTAATTTTGGACCCTTTTGACCTCAATATGAACCAATTTGATAGCAGGGTCCACAAATAAAAAATCTAAATACATGGTTAGATTCAGCATATCAAAGAACCCCATATATTCAATTTTTGTTGAAATCAAACAAAGTTTAATTTTGGACCCCAATTTGGACCAACTTGAAAACTGGGCCAAAAATCAAAAATCTAAATATATGTTTAGATTCAGCATATCAAAGAACCCCATATATTCAATTTTTGTTAAAATCAAACAAAGTTTAATTTTGGACCCTTTGGACCTTAATGTAGACCAATTTATAAAACTGGACCCAAAATTAAAAATCTAAATACACGGTTAGATTCGGCATAACAAATAAAAAAATGTGGTCAAAGATTTTACAAATCCAATGCACCATACTGTGCAATTAAAGATTACTTCTTGAAATTTTTCAATATTTGAAAGTTGAAAAAAAAACAATATTTGAAGAATAATTCTTTTTAATTTCTGAAATCTGAAATGAGAAAAAATTGACCCCCTGCAATTTCTTTTTACCCCCCCCCCCCTTTTTTTCCCCAAAAAATTCTTTCCCTCAAGATATGGTCATAATCTCATTTCATATTTCCAATGGAGTTTGCAACCATAACTACCCATTTAAATTTACCATAGTGCTAACTTAATCTATTTTATAATAGAATTTAAAATATAGTGTCAAATCTTTCATATGGATTTTTTTTTT